TATTTTATTTGGTGGGGTGCTTTTTGGTATTTGGATTTTTTTCGTTGACTCTTGGCGTTTTGCGATTTTTTGTGTTGGCTTGTTTTGTTTTTGCTTTTTTCGCGTTTTGTTTTTTGTGTGTGTGGGAGAAGGTATTGTCTCTTTTGGTGTTTTTTTTGTTTGTTTTTATTGCGTGAGTTTATTTTAGCTTTTTCCATTCGCTTTTTTTCTTTTTGCGTTGTTTTTAGTCTTTGTTAGCCTTTTTATCTTTGGCCTTTTTTAGCCTTTTTTTTTTTTTTTTTTTTTTTTTTAAGCCCTTTTTGTGTCCTTTTTTTGTGTCTTTTTTGGCCTTTTCTTTTTTTTAGCCTTCTTTTTTTTAGCCTTTTCTTTTTTAGCCTTTTTGTGTTGGATTGTTTTGTTATGTGTTTTGTCTTAGCGTTTTTGGCTTGGCTTTTATGCGTTGTTTGTTTTGTTTTGGGGGGTTTTTCTTGCTTTTTTTAAGGCTTTGCTTTGGCTTTTTTGTATTGGTTCTTTTATTTCGTTTGCGTTCATATCCTACGTTACAATCTTAACTTGAAACTCTTACCATAAATATTTTTTTTAAATATCACCTTATTTGTTCAAACAATTTTCTGAATTTGTAAACATGCGCCTATTCATTTCCGTATTACAAATCTTACTTTTTTTTTTTTTTTTTTTTTTTTTTTGCACCGAATGCACTTTGAAATCTTTTAAGGGAGATTCCGAATGTCTAATACTGCTTGTATCCTTGTTTTGGTAGGTGCTAATTCTATAATAATATATTTGCCTTCAAAAATTGTTTTAACATTGAATATTTCTTAACGAAACCTTTTAATATTTCTGTGCCATTTATTTTAGTTATCCATATTAAGATTTTTTGTAAGGAAACCAAGCGAGGCTAGGAATATGTGGTTTATTCTGTTACGCCATATTCGATAGCAGAAGAAATTTCCTTGACCACTTAAAAACGCCAGCATGTCTAAATGTGTGTTTAATATAGAGAAAAAAAAAAAAGAATATAACAAATTAATGAATAACGACGAAAACACGGAATAATTTAGTTTTTGGCGTTTAGCAAACACCAATTATTTTTAATTGAAAAAAAAATCCGAAAACAATCTCAATTTTTGTTATCTAAAGTTAATTGCCTTTCACGATCCCCCCCCCCAAGGCTAAAGAAACAATTTTCATGTCGCGAATTCGTCAGTAATCTCATTTCGCACCTGTTCCTTACATTCGCTTTTTAATTTAACCTCGAGAAATTGCAGTGGCGTTACTAATTACACACTGTCACAATTAATACCGTAAATAAATTTCAAATAATTGTGGCAAACTGGATTTTTATATACATTTTTGCAACGGAAGCTTTCTTTTTAAATCTGTATAAAAGCTGATTTTGTAGATACGTCTTTACACAGTAAATAGTCTTATTTGAAATCTTCTTCGAAACAGCGTCTTAAGTGGAGAAACTTGAAAAAAAAATCAGTAAGTATCATTAATTAGTTTACAAGAAAGAAGTATGATTGAAAGAAACTGTCCTGTAGAGTTTTCGGTGAGCTTTTTGATCTCTAGCTGCGACGATCATCTCATCAAGGAAAAGAGAGCCGATTAGCGTAGATTTGTACAGCCGAGCAAGTATTTTTGAGTCAACTGATCACAGGCTGTTGCGAAGTCACGTATTCACGTTAACAAAAATACAAACTCGAGAGAACTCAAATAATGATTGGTTGAAAATTCGTTTACAGATTTTCAATTACGACCTCAAATTAATTTAATTATAGATAAGTTAATTCTTCACATCTTTTCCCGGATCTGTCCCATTTTAATATATCTAATTTCCCTCTCTCCCTCTAGCATTTCCCATCGCTCTCCCTCTAGCATTTCCCATCGCTCTCTCGCTCTAGCATTTCTCCTCTCTCTCTCTCGCTCTAGCATTTCTCCTCTCTCTCTCTCGCTCTAGCATTTCTCCTCTCTCTCTCTCGCTCTAGCATTTCTCCTCTCTCTCTCTCTCGCTCTAGCATTTCTCCTCTCTCTCTCTCTCGCTCTAGCATTTCCTCTCTCTCTCTCGCTCTAGCATTTCTCTCTCTCTCTCTCTCGCTCTAGCATTTCTCTCTCTCTCTCTCTCGCTCTAGCATTTCTCCCTCTCTCTCTCTCTCTAGCATTTCTCCTCTCTCTCTCTCTCTCTCTAGCATTCTCTCTCTCTCTCTCTCTCTCTCTCTCTCTCTCTCTCTCTCTCTCTCTCTCATTTCCCTCTCTCTCTCTCTCTCTCTCTGGCTCTAGCATTTCCCTCTCTCTCTCTCTCTCTCTCTGGCTCTGGCTCTCTCTCTCTCTCTCTCTCTCTCTCTCTAGCATTTCCCATCTCTCTCTCTCTCTAGCTCTCTCTGGCTCTCTCTCTCTCTCTCTCTCTCTAGCATTTCCATCTCTCTCTCTCTCTAGCATTTCTCATCTCTCTCTCTCTCTCGCTCTAGCATTTCTCCTCTCTCTCTCTCGCTCTAGCATTTCTCCTCTCTCTCTCTCTCTCTAGCTCTAGCATTTCTCCTCTCTCTCTCTCTCTCTCTCTAGCTCTAGCATTTCCCCTCTCTCTCTCTCTCTCTGGCTCTAGCATTTCATCGCTCTAGCATTTCGCATCGCTCTCCGGCTCTCTCTCTCGCTCTAGCATTTCCCCTCGCTCTCTCTCTCTCTCTCTCTCTCGCTCTAGCATTTCCCCTCGCTCTCTCTCTCTCTCTCTCTCGCTCTAGCATTTCCCATCGCTCTCTCGCTTTCTCTCTCTCCCCCTCTAGCATTTCCCATCGCTCTCTCCGTCTCTCTCATTTTCCATCTTGCTGTTTTTATCAGGCATATACACGTGTGTGTCTTTATCTCATTCTCTCTCGGCCTTTCTCTCTCTCTGCCTTAAGCTTATATATATATATATATATATATATATATATATATATATATATAAGGCATATACACGTGTGCGTTTATTTAGAGCAGCCTGGATCCATTCAAATCTGTTTGATTGAAACCGACCGACATCTACCCGTTCGCCCCCCCCCTTTCCTTACATTCTTCCGCTTCGCGTTCAAATTACATGCGAAAACCGCGCGTGGCCCCGGTTCGCCTTCAGGTATCATAATTTCAAGCTTTTCTATTCTTGTACATGCATCCTTTATCAATATTCACATCGCGGTCCTCCCCAATAACTCAGTCTTTCAATGGCCTTGCTTGTCCATCTCAAACTAAATAGATATAAATACAGAATGTACGACGCGCGCATACCTACATATACACGAGCACACCGATGCCTAAATACACACGCATTCGCATATTCCTATATATATACACACACACGTGTGTGTGTGTATATATATATATATATATATATATATATATATATATATATATATATATATATATATATATATAAAAAGAAATATGTTGTAGTGGTTCCAACGAGAGAAAAGTATGTATATTAAAAAGAAGAGGGTGCCGCAAACGTTTTTTGGTTGTAATGTGGATTTATTGAGAAAAAATATTATACTTTGTTTTACATAATTTCACGACACGTGTTTCTGGTCTGGTCTCGCAACCGTCTTCAGGTGAAAGTGGAGATTTTTACATATTATTAAAAATAATTAATTTTTCTTCATGTTCAATGTGGAATATTCTCGATATGAGACATTCTGTTTGTGTGTTGGCAATCCGAATTTTCTTTCTAGAATTGTCAATGAAGAGTTCTGCGTGAAGGGTCATAAAACAATTAAGGTTTGTCCAGCGAGTAGTTATCGGCATTTAATCTTTTAATGTTTTAGTGACCTCTATGTGCTCTTGGATCTGTTTCTATTTTGGCGTGTTCCTGTCAGCATGCGTATATATATGCGTGCGTATATTTCCTTACTACGAGGAATTCGTAAACTTATTTGTACCTATACACGCATACACACACATACACACTATCCCACCACAAGTAGTCAGTACACACACACATATACACACATATTTCCCAAGCTACATGGAACCAGTATACACACACACACACACACACATGCACACACACACACACACACACACACACGTACTTCTTAAGTTGTCAACATCCGCATATACATACATAAATGTATGTGTGTGTACACACATATATATATATCTCCTCGTGTCTCCCGTATATGTGTGTCCATATATATATATATATATATATATATATATATATATATATATATATATATATATATATATATGAGAGAGTGCGAGTTGACAGCCAATTATATAATTGGCTGTCAACTCGCACACGAATAAAATCACCTTCACGCACCTGGGAGATTGCGGGCGTGGTGGTGACTCTTGACTCCGGACAGGATTTTAAATACTCTGCTACAGAAGACACATACATGGGAATTGGGTGTATCATGCCTACGCAAATTACTCTCAAGACCAGACTTAGAGAGACGGATACTCTCACATAAGTTAGAGGTGTGATACTCCTTATCTAAAATGCCTATACATGCACACTCGTATATAAATGTATATTTTTCGCTCCCACCTACTAATATAAAACCAACAATTCCTCATAGACTCCTATCCTGTACCACGCAAGAAATGACCGTCATGGTAATATTTACAAAGGGATTGCCTCTGTCCTAAGTTAAATAATTTTTTCTCATGACTCGAAAACAAAATCTCTAACAATTTCAACAAACCTATATATTCGATATAAATCGATGACATATTCACAAAAAAAACTACATGAAATAAACTGAAAAAGCAAAAAAAAAAAACACTTATGACTCCTATTTCTTTTATACTTTGTGACTGCCATATAGTTTCCTAAATTACGATACGAAAAGACAAGATAAATAAACAGACACCATGAATAAAAATATCTCTACTCAATGACCGAAATGAATGTTCTCACAGATCTAAATATATTTTGTTTCTAAAAAGTACCTTTCAGCTGTTATTTAACAAAAAAAGGAGCATCATAAAACAAGTACTTATTAAGTTTATCAAATGCTATAGGCTTACGGCCGTATCACCTTCAAACATCAGTTCCTGTAAGATCACCGAACTTGAGCAACGTTGATGCTGTTCAGTAATGAGATCGGTGACCGCTTGGGAATACCAGGTGCTGTAATCTTGGGTGTGCGGGTGGTGTAATGGATAATGGCTTGAAATTGTTCATCGGAGAGCCGAGTTCCAATTCCAGTCGGGTTTATTGTATTCACTTACGCGCAAATACCTTTGGAAAAGGTATGAATCCACCACTTCTTCCCCAGCTATAGTAAGACTTGTATCATTTAACCATTATCTCCCCACCCCACAAAAAAGACATTTTCTGGCTTTAAATAGCCTGCAAAAAATGTTGATAAACTGTAGAAAACGAATAGATCAATCAGTTAATCGACCAACCAAATCATGAAGGTAATTTCAGAAAAATATATATTAGATTGAGTTATAAATAATTTCCATTTTGTTTTTCAAGTACAATACATTTTTTTCAATTATATATTCACCATTATTTGCAATGACTTTATATTGTTACAGTGATTTTCACTTTGCCATTTATCGTGTAATCTTTGCGACTTAAAAAAAATGTCTTGTCTATCATCGTTTCGTCTTGTGTCGCCATAGAGGAGAAACAAACCTTTTTGTTATTACGACCATGTTTTTATTTTTATATTTTTTATAGGCATGTGCTGAACCCTTTTAACAACTCCAAATAAATATCCCAACGACCCCATCACATACACATTACCTTTCTTCCATAGAGTTCTGTCATCTAAATTTAGTCTTAACTGCTACGTATAATTAAGTTAGGATGATATATTACTCGTTAAAATTGGTCCCACAAAACGGAATTTACTCACGATTCAACCCAACACAGCCCTCATACAAATAAGATATCATTAACTTATTCTATCATAAGCAGATTCATCCTAAATATAAGAAATGTTTGTAGGTAGATATCACTTAAGTCGTAGGTATTTTATCATTCATTATAAAAATGTTATAAAGCAACTAACTTGATCATTGATAATAAATCTAGACCTCAAAAATCGCCCTTATGTAGAAACTATAGTTTATGAATTCTTGTGATTTTTGAGAAATTACATCTCCAAAATGTATAATATAAAAAGAAAATTGGTCCCACTACCACTACACTCTTTCGTAGATTAACTTGTTTCAATCTACATTAAAACATTACATGAAAATATGACTTTAAATGAGAAATATTATTAGAAAATATAAAATACTATGTAATGCTCATTATAAAAAAGACAAAATAATTGAAACTATTTTTATATAGAAGAAACAACTGACATTAATATATATTTTTTAACATTAATACATTGGTGTGTAATGTGAATTGAAGAATCGGGGAGCCGAGTTCGAATTCCAGTCGAATCTATTACATTTACTTGCGTGTTAATACCCTTGGGAAAGGTATGAATCCTCGGTCTTTCCCGAGGAAAGTAACCTTGAATTCAAAACTATGCTTACCTAAAGAAAGGATCGTTCGCATTGGCTCAATGATCCCGGCTACGTTCGATCTGGGATCAAGTTATTGCGACTCCTAATGTCCCTCTATCCGCCTTGTAAGTATCAGATTCTCCAAGCGCTCCTTTCTCACTACGTGTTTCAGAAATTCCAGCTGCCTATTTCTGATGTTAAGCATAAGTTTGCTCTTTGTTTGCATCCTCTCCAAAACCTTGTCGTTGCTCACATGTTCGGCCCATAGTATCCTTAGCGCCCTTCCGTAGAACCATACCTCTTTGAGGAGACCGTCCAAAATTCGCTGCTGTAAAGGAGGACAGATATCACGTAGTAGTTCAGTACTTTATTCTTTGTTACCAACGAAATCCTCCTATCTCGTAATACTCTGCCTAGCTTTTGGAATGCGTCTTTGGCCATCCCAATCCGTCTTCGGATCTCAGCGTCGCACTTACTGACCTCAGTCAGAACACTCCCCAGATATTTAAATTTCCGCGCCTGTTTGATTTTAGTGTCCCCGACCTGTAAATCGCATTTCGGGCTTATCTTTTTACCGATGACCATGCATTCTGTTTTCTTGTAGTTTATGCTTAGTCCTTTCTTCTCACTCTCCGTCGCTATCTTCTGTAAGATATTTTGTAATTTCTCTTCCGTGTCTGCTATCAGCACTGTGTCATCTGCGTATCTTATGTTGTTAAGATTTTGGCCGCCAATGGTGAATCCTGGTAGGATTTCCAGTTATCTGAGAACTGCTTCGCTGTATAGGTTGAATAAATCTGGTGAGAAGACACCTCCTTGCCTTACGTCTCTTTCTATTTTTGTATATCTACTGAACTCATTTTATATCTTACTAGCAGTAGAGCCCGGCGTTGCCCAGGGATGTAACAGTAAGAGATAGATCAAGTATCGACCATCATAAAGACTGAAAAATAAAATTGACAAAGATTATTCTTTAAGGTTGACGGACACACATATCTTAATTAGTTTGTTTTTTGTTTTTTTTGTTTTTTGTTTTTTTTGTTTTTTGTTTTTTTTGTTTTTTGTTTTTTTTTTTTTTTTTTTTTTTTTTTTTACGAATTGGTCAAACTCAAACAAAAACATTGTTTTCCATCGTTATGAGTCTACCGATTGAATAGAATTTTATTATAAACATTTGTCTTGTAAATGGAATTTTTAAAGCATTCTGAATGTAAAAATAAAGACAAAAATGTGCAAGACAATAAGAAACACTACCTGCCAAAAAAAAAAGTGAAGTTTTGTTGAAATAGGTTGAAAAATGTAGGAAATCCGATCCCATATATAAACTAACTCACACACACGCACACAAAGAACCTGGGTTTTATAATAAGTATAACTCGATATGAGCTGTCCCCCTTTCATTCTCGTGACAGCGATGCCTCTTAATTGTGTTTTCAAATTGATTTCGTGCAAAAACAATTGTTTTCCAATTTTTGGCGCTGTCAGAACCACTGCAAGGTAATTTTACGTAGTCCTGTAAAGTTTTGTTGAAATCTGTTGAAAAATGTAGGAAATCCGATCCGATATATAAACGTACACACACACACACAACCTGGGTTTTATAATAAGTATGATTTCAGGTGGTTTGCTGCCAGTAGAGGTTTTGATTATTCTAATGTCTTTCCCGAATATGTTAAGATTGCTTAGCAGCTCTAACAGATCATTGTGGCGTACTTTGTCGAATGCCTTTGCGTTGTCTATAAAACACAGGTGCACATTCTGCTGTATTTGTATTGCGCTTTCTGGTAACATTTTGAGTTAACATATCGCGTTACTTGTTCCGGTGTCTTTAACAAACCCGCACTGTTCTTGTCCTATCTTTAGCCTGATTCTGCTACACACTCTATTCATCCGAATACGGATAATGAGTTTCTTTATGTGGCTCATTAGGCTGATTGTTCGGTGGAGTTCACATTCATTTGTGCCTGGTTTCTTAAGTAGTGCTATGAAAATAAATCCAATATATCCCCACTATTGTTGATCTCATTTATTATTTCCATAATCTTGTATATGGCCAAATCATCTAAGGCTGTAAGCATTTCTGTTACAATTCCGTCTGGCCCTGCCGCCTTGTTTTTGTTCAATTTGTCCAGTGCTGCTTTTAATTTGGTTTTTAAGAATTCCAGGCCCGTCGATAGTTCTGTGTATTGCTGGTTGTTCTCAAGTATATTCGTTAGAGCGCTGAAGAATTTTTCCTTCTCTAATATGAGCGTTCCATCCTTGGATTTTATGCATTCTGTTGACTAGCATGTCTTCTTCCTGTTACTTTCCATATTTGTTTATACATATCTTATCTGTGGTACTCAATCTCTCTATTTCTGACCATTTTTCATTTAGCCACTCTTCTTTAGTCTGCCTGCATCTGGTCCTTATTTTGTCGTGTCGTTCCTTTGCATCATATCGAGAATCTCGTCAGTGATCTATTAATTTTTTCTTCTTCATCCATTCTCCCTTGGGATGATATCCTTTGCTAATGTTACTAAAGCTTCACTTAATGCGTCCCATTTCGAGTGTCCATTTCCATTTTGTCCCTCGTATCTTCTTTTCAAACTGTCCATATATTTTGCCTTCAGGTTCAGTTCGCTCAGGAGTTTGTTGTATTGCAATTTGGGCGCTGCGTTAAGCTTCTTCAGTTTCTGTAGTTTCAATCATAGTTTACATATAACAGGGCGATGGTTGCTTCCGCGTACGGCGCTTGGGTAGGTATCGCAGTGAACCATTGCATTCCTGAATCTTTTGTTGATAGTTATGTAGTCAATTTTGGTGTTTAGTTTCTCCTCCTGGGCTCCTTCTTGCCCATAATCATCTCGGGTGTTCTTGGAACCATGTGTTGGCTATCACCTGGTCATTAGTCGTGCATTGGACCCATTTTTCTCCACGTTCGTTGCGAGTGCCTCGTCCGAATTTGCCAGCTATCTTACCTGCTCTCTTCCTGTCTACTTTGGCGTTCAGGTCTCCCATGATAATTATTGTGCTTTGCAGTGAGCCTTGGCGCTGTCTAGCATGGAGTAAGATTCGAGTTCTTCTTCCTTACTTTGTGCTGTCGGTGCATACACTATTATGATAGCTACGTTGAAAGGCTTTGCTTTCAGCTTGACTACCAAGATAACTTCGGGTAATTGCTAGTATCTCAGAACGCATTTCTTGAATTCTTGATCTAGTATAAATCCTAATCCTCTATAGTTTTCCTCTCCGCCTGCATATATAATCCTGTGATGGTCACTGACAAAATCTCTGTTTGGCTACCTGGTTTCACATACGCCTATGTTGATTTTTAGCTTACTCATCTGTAGTTCAACGTCCTAAGATTGTATGTCCCTAGAGTTATTTTTTGTGTGATGCGATCAGTCGCAAGATAACGGTCCGGTGACACCTGTCGCTCATGCCGCTCCTTTCCGAACGAGTAATAGGTTCCGAGGAATTTTATCCGCTTTACGGCGTTTATGCTAGCAGTCGCTGGATGACGGTCAGGTGACACCTGTTGCAAATATCGGTCCTTACCGAACGAATATTTAATTCCCATCTTAACCCCCTTCACGATGTTAGGTTTTATGTGTGTGTTATTTGCCATGATGTCTTGGGATTAATAGTGGAGTGGTTTCCTGTTGTCTTCTCCACGGTGGTT